ACGCTCCTCTTCGCCGAGGACGACTCGTTTTCGCTGACCTCTTCGATCGCCAGTGATAGCGTGAAAAATTTCGACTATGGACGTATGGTGAAGCAGTTTCCAAAAGGCACACCGGCTGAAAATTCGGGAGCTCGAATCGACACGCTATTTGGACACCACGGAAGTGCCTGCCTAGCCTGGAGGCTTTGCTGCTTGACGTTCGTCTTAATCGCTTGCTGCTGAAAGCAGTCCTGACCTATCGTATGCACGGCTGCCAGATCGAGGCTGGCTGGCAACAGTGTGTGCAGTTATTTACTTACTGAAAACTGTTTGATATTGTGTGAATCATGTGACTTTGACTAGTTATTTATTTGCAAAAATGTGAGAGTTAATTAAAATCTTTTGCACACTATTTGGAGATAGGCTGTGATCTTTGCCGAGTGATATAATAGTCGCATTTGCACAAAGTCTCTGACTACTATCGTCTGTAAACAAGACTTATTCTGAGCCAGATTATTGTGTAATTAAGACCTGCATTTTCTGTTTATTTCAATCACCACAAAATATGACACGTTGTCCAACTTTTCCCCGTTATGAGGCGGCATGAACACAAGGCGCGCTCCTGAGATATTTTCGTTCTCTGCCTTCTGCCCTACAGGTGATCAATTAATTTGACTATCTCACTGTCCCAGCGTTTTTTGGCCTACCGACTGGACGTAGGTGATCCAGAGGAACAGGGTCTGTAATTCTTGACGTACTTTGCCGGTTGCCTCTGAGGAGAGCCACATAATTGACCCACGTTCTCTTGGCGGCATGGAAGGCAGAAATTGCATCTGTTAATCCAGTTCCGGTGCAGAATTTGTGCATCCGCAAGGACACCCTGTATATTTGTCGTACCATAGCTCTTTGTGTGATTATGAGTTTATTCTCCTCAGCAAAGTGGCAGACTAACTATCTTCGTCCGCATGGTTAGATAAGTGTCGAGTAGTTCGAGTAGTGATGTTTCAGTACGATTAAAGCAGACCCATGCCGTCTTCCATATTCGGCTGATTTTCACGTCTAGCGAGTTGTTGAGGTCCAAGTATGCAACGCTGGTGATTACGTCGAGCTCCTCGCCATTCCGCTGACAGGACTCTGGGGAAAGTGCTCGTTTCGCCTCCATTTCGTTCATTTTGAGCGGCTAACCGATCGTGAGAAATTCTTTTGTGCAACTGTTTGATCTTCTGTTGGTGCTGCATTGTTTCTTATGTGAAAACGATGGAATCCTTCGCAGGCAGCAAGTGCTTCAGCTCTTCTACCTCAATATTGATGCCGTTGCCCAAGTTTAATTGGCTGAAGAGTGACAATGCCTCATCGAAGACCGCTGATATGACAATAACTCCTTGACGCACTTTTCGACGAGGTTGATGGACGTGGTTCACTGAATAGCTTGTTGTGTACCAACTGGTGCTCAGTTTCTCGATTCAGGTTTATGCCGTGCTCGTGCAGGGTGCTTAGCATAACCGTCAGTTCTATCGAATCTAACATTTTCTCATGACCGATGAAAACATAATGCACGCGATATTCGTTGCACTTCTCTGTCTGTTGCTGCATGACATGTGTACTTTCGATGATAGAAGACCCTGTACAAAACCCGGTCTGTTCCACACTTGTGATCAGTCTGAATTCCTTCAGAATGCGGATGACAATGATGCGTGGGAAAATTTTGAAGATTTGCAACAGGAGTGTAATTAATCCATAGTTCTTGAGGTCCATACAGCCGCCTTTCTTCAGTGAAGAATCTTCCTTGATGTCTTCCACATTTCAGGTGTCTTGGTTTGCTCATTGCATTGCGTAAAATGCTTGACTAACGTTTCAAACATTTTTGTTTTCTTTAAGGTGCCCTTGTTTCTGATTGCCTATTCAACTTCTTCTTCAGTAACTTTGAGAACGGTTTCTGTGTCAAGGTGGTGTGGCAACTTCTGATTTAAGACAACTTTAGAAAAGTGCAGGTTACTGTAGAATTTTGTGCAGATCGCATTCATCCGATTGTGAGTAGTAGTATTGCGCCACGTTCGTCTTACAGCGCAATCGGATTCTGTTTTTTAGCTGAATATCTCACTCCACCGCTTGCAGGCTGTTCTTCTATTCCATAGCCTCTTTTAATTAAATCCTTCAGTGATTTTCTTAATCTTCCCTCAACTTCTTCCGTTTCTCTTTGCACAAATTAGTTTACACGCTGTCCATTTCCCCTTCATCTTTTTCTTGGACTCTCTGAGCCGTTAGCTGCATTGTTGCAAGACTGCTGCATTGACTTTACTGTCTGACTTGATGTTCTAAAGGCAGTCTTGATGGCATTGGGAAAAACAAAAATTCGTATCTATGCCTTCGCTGAAGTTCATTTCAAGGTTCATTAATGGCAGCTTCTTGACGGAAGTCTCCTCATCGAATCGTAGTTCTCCACAGAGCGGTGATCCTGGGTCCCATTTGATTCGTTCATCTGTGGCGTAACTGCGGAGACCCAAGTCCTGTGGTCTGACAAAGGCAAGTGGCCTGACTAAAAGGCCTTTGATCTGTTCAGACGATGACTGACACGTCTCATACTACTCCTTTCTCTTCAGTCTGCATACGGTCCATTTACTTCGAAGACGTTCCGTCTGGGCTTCTCCATTCTACTATCGCTTTTGAGCATCTTGGAAAACGGTTGTGCAACATTAGGCAGTCGCTTCCTGCGACAGTATCCAAACGATGCTCATGTTCATTTCTGTCGCCTTTACCGTATTGGGCAATAAACGCCTCAGTGCAGTTCATTGCTTTCCCGACGACTGCGTCGAAGGCTCATTGGACAGTCCCATGCGTAATCTGCTTCTCTGTTGCACTTTCAAATTCCTCATAGAATTATTGGGTCATTTCATTATCCTTCCTCTTCTTTCATCTGCAGAAGTAGAACTGTCTTACTTGATGATATGGTATCACAGTTCAGTACAAACTCGGTACAGTTTTTCTTTTGATTGCGAACCCAACGCCGTAGGTGCGAGCACTTTTCTCGAAGATCTCTCAAGAGGAAGACTTGGTCGCTGCTCCACAAATTCGGTAAGTCCTCGGATCTTGCATATTCCGATGACGTCAGCCTTGGTCTTATCCGTTTCCACGACATAATCGTCAATCAATGAGCCTGTCGATTGCATTCTTGCATGATGGCTAGCTAGCTAGCATTCTACCTAGCTTCAAGAATGCTAGCTCTTAAATTTAAGCTAGCGTTCTTTCGGGCTAGCTTAAACGTCCTCGAAGCTTAAGGACGATTCGGGTTCGTTTGCCAATCGCGTTCTGTACTTTACGTAGTTGAATGTGTTTTTCAGGCCGATGCCGTTGACCGCATCTACTTTTCTGGTTTTCGTTATTCATCGAGCGTTTTTCAGCGATTGATTGTTTTGCAGTTCATTCCAGGTGCCAGCACTCGTGAACTTGTGCCAACGATTTCCCAAGATTCAGAGAAGTGGAGCATCATGTGAGGTTTTGCTTACCGAAAGGTATGATTCGCAAGTAAGGGCAGCAGCAACGTCGCAACCTACCGCAGCAGGCTCCCTCGCCACTTGCAAGCACTCACGCAGAAGGAGAAAGAGCTTCAATGTTCTTGCTAAAATCTTGACTGATCGCAGCAGCATCGCCTTCTGCAGTTCATCCATCTTGGTCGTTTTATCAGTTGATTTCATGGATTTTCGGTCTTTCTTCAATTTCATGATTAGGCGATTTTGAAGTGCTTCATTTCATGAAGTTGATGGTATGATGCTGATCTCTGTTTCTATGCCATCAGTCAGGAGTACCTTATTTTAAAGGCAGATTCTACGGACATGTGGCAAGCATAAAGCATAGTCTCTAGCATCCTTCATGCAGAGTGATTCTCATTTATCAACTTCGGAAGAAAGAATGGACAGTGACCCCGACCGTTTGACACTATGTCATGAAATTGACAACAACATATATTCTTTGACTTTCGAGGGTGCTGATAGTCTCTTTGCACTAATCCAAGGGCACAGATTACACCTGGAAGGAGCTCAGTCTTTATTCCCTACATGTTTTGTATTTCCATCTTCAACTTTTGATATTTCAATATCGTTTCTCTCCTGTTAACAACAACGTTGCCTATTTTTTTGAAAAAATATTACTATGTGTATTTTTTCATTCGCATATTGTCCTCTCGTTAGTTTCAGGCAATTATCACATTGGTCGGTGAATTTCTGCTCTGCGGTTCATGTGTCAGTCAACACGGATGCAATTTTGACCATACCAAATCATCATGCTATTTATAGTATTCGCAAATCTACGGCTTGTAATCCATTTCTTTTGCTTTTACTGTACTGGATGTACCGATGCGCAGTGAGGTGAGTTCCTTGCTTAAGGGTATTAGCAGTTAGCTTATGAGATTTTAAGTCACACAGCAAATTTGTGCCCAGTCCCTCTGAAGGGCAAAGCAACCCCAATTACAATTGCACCACCTCGCTATGACTGGAATATGTAAGCATTTGGATCACTTTGATCGGCCGGTAGTCGGCGACGAATCGCTCCGGCCTCAACACGTCCGCCATTCCTCAAGGTTTGTAATCATTTAACTCCAAGCTCTACCACTTTGGTCACTGATATGATCTTTCCACCGTAGTATGGGCGACCAAGGGGCCCTGTTCGTCTACGAGGGTTCCAATCGACGATTATCACCGACCGTCTTCCGTCGGTATGCCTATCTACGAATCTGACCAATCGTAGTTTCTGTTTTCTACTTTCGATGACGATGTCCTTAACTCCCGTCTGATGTCTCATCAGAAATAATTAATATGTTATTTGTTTAGCAGCAGACGTTTGGATGGCAGAAATTACCAACGTATGACCGAATCACAGCATCTGAAAATCCATTTTGCTGCGATTTGTTGAATCTCTAAGTTGACTGGTTTCTGATATGAGTGCAAATGCTCAACGATTAACGAAGCAGATAGGCAAATCCATTGCGACATTCGAGACGTGGTATCACAAATAACTGTAAGTATGTCCTGAAAGCACATGGAAACCAACAGTAGGAAATACACCATTAATTGATTATCATATTGAAAAAGCTGCAATCAGGTGATCAAGGAAAATTGCAGCCCGATGAGGTGCTTACATCAGACTTACGAGCATGATTTACGTCTCGCCCATTCTGGTATGAGTGCAATGTTTCAACTGTTGTTCGCAAGTTGACGACTTGCTGCTAGTTTCACGACTGGTTGCACCAAAACAACTTGTTCTAATTTCCTTGCTCAATGAAATTTGCCATAAAGAGAGAGATCTTTCCTTTGCCATATTCGAACCAGGATTTTCAGAGTAACAGAGACTCCGACCTCTTTGCCACTTCTACCTCGATCCAAAGAATACGAATGTCTTAAAGCAAGTTGGCTCTCAATGCTTGGTTTTGACAAAATGAGCACTCAATGTTTATAAACACAAATTACGGTATGTCGGTCACGTTGTGACATAACATATGGTTTTAGTGTTTTTTGACGTATCATCCGCATTCAATCCAAATGGATCTTTGCCTAATCTATTAGAACTTTTCTTGATCAGTTGAACGACAAACTATTTCTCCCGTTGTAGCCAACTTATCAAAATCAATGGTAAGACATCCAAAAGCTAAATGATCCTCAAGTGGTCCAAAATTCTGTTGACAAGGTTTGGAACCTATGATTGGAACCGACAGCAAAGTAAAACGATGCCTGGTGTAAACAAGCATCATTCGCACCAAAAAAATCCAACATGATGTGATCATGGGGTGCAGATTAATACCTCGTGCTGTCCGTCTAAACAACAGAGGATAACGAGTAACGAACAAATTTATTAATCAAACATCTGCAGCCATCAAAAGCGGTGCAACAACAGTTATACTGCATGACAGTGTGCTCAGGGAAATAAAACGATAAGCATCGTCTAGTTTTAACGGAAATCATTCGACAAGCCTGATCTTGCGTTTTGTATATGCTTCGAAAGTTTCTATAAAGAAAAACAATTTTAAAAAAATTTTCCAAACAACACACAAGCGTTAGCCTCTGATGTATGCATATTTCATGGCCCATTGATCATAGAGTAATTTGGTGCAAGAATGTGCTTTGCCGATAGCAACAGCTGTTCCCTAAAGACTAATGAACCTTGCCTGACCTGGATAACAAATGAAGATAACTTTTCTCTACAAACTGCCAAAGTGAAAAGAATTTAACTTGTGCGTTTTTATTGCAAATTTGTGCGATGATGATGATGAGGTTTGTCGGTGACGAAAGGTCATGACACGTTGGATTTTTTATGATCAAGTTTCAACCACTCCAATTAACGACAACGCTAACAATCACAGTGAAACTAAAGCATTAAATAAGCACAACAAAAGGTAATAAGCAGTAAGCCTTAGTTATTAGGCTATCATCGACGTTTCGTCTGTATTGAATATCTTCCTTTAGAGTAGAACAAACGACATTTCATGGTTGTTCCTGCCGCCTGCAGATGCCAGAACCTTTCTTGCGCTACGGCTCTGCGCTATGACCAGAGGATGCTGTACTCTTTTTTCTGAATGCAATCTGTTCAGAGAGGTATCTACTCCCGTTTTCGCACCACACATAAGTACTCACTGAAATGAGTAGAAAACTTGTAAGACCGAGATTAATAACGGTTCGAACTCACGACCTTTCGTCCCCCAAACCGAAACACCACTAACCGAAATACCATGGCGGTTAAGATTGTTTCTCTAAGTAGACTCAAGATAAAAACACATAAATGCCATACGACAACAACGGAGTTGTCTGAAGCACAGTTTACGTCATATGCAACGTTGCTGACTGGATTCAAAGAATGATACTTAGTCTGTACTTGACCCTTATATAGTACCCCCAATGGAAAACACCTTCAGCTCCCAGAATTTATTCTCTCATGCCAACAGTACATGGAAAATTGCGGAGCTGTTTGGTTTTAGTTTCTATTCTAGAAGAGAATCCGTTTTGATACGATTTTGGACAACCATGGAACAAAAGTAAGCTGTAAATTAGCACCATCAAAAGATCCGACAGAGCGTTTGTAGCGTCACAACAGCGTACCATATTTTCATCGCGAATCCGCTCCAGCCGCAGCGCTCGGTCCGGGTCGGAGAGATGGTCAGTGATTGGCATAGACGGAGACAACTTCTTCTTTCTTCTCTGAGGTAAAGTCGACTTCGAGTTCACAATCTGTCGTAACAGACGATAGTTCTCTCGCATTATTTCTATGTAGCGGTCATTCGTGAAAGAGACGTTCATCCGGCGTCGAGGTCCTCGTTCTCGGACGTGTGTACTGACGCGAGAGTGTACCGTTTCGGTCGGGTAAAAGGAGAATGACTTGTTTGGAGAATTCCAGCGAGGCGGAGGCGGTAGTTGGTTTAAACCTGCGTCCACAGAACAGCATCTCTTTGGCCTCGGCTCCATCGATCACTGCTGCTCCGCTCCGCTACGAGCCGCGATGTCTAAAGCTGGTGTTCGTTTCCTTGACGACAGAGTACATGAAAGTATGAGTGTTAGATCCGTACCACATCAAGATCAATCAATACATCAAAACTGCCAATCAAATTTTGCTGAATGATACTGTTGTTTGAATCGAAACTTTGTGCTATTACTAATCTTCATGCACTCACGGAGTTCTGTAGCAATTCCCGTCAATGTTAATGATAAGCGTGCATTAGTATCTAATCACTAATAAGTGAATTATTTTCTTTCAGATTTTAATCAGATACTAACGTAATTCTACTTATGATCTGGACACCGGAAGGTTACGATGAAACCTCAACCTGAGGAGCAATTCTGTTTTGTTTCGTTCAATCAGCTTATTTTCTTTTTGTTGTTGCATTTTGTTCGATGTTATGACTTGTCACTTTTTCACTGTGTTGTTTCTCACACTGCGATACTCGCTTTCTGCTCTTTCCATTAACCGTTATTTCATTCTCGGTTAGCCATGATGAATTATTTTGGTCATGTTAACTGACGTTTTTGCTAAAAATTTGGTACTGTGCTTATCCTTTTCACTACCATCATTATCTAGGTCATTTTTTCCTGTTGAACTCCCTTCACTCTCAAACAACGCCGAGTTCTTCAGTTGTGTGATTTCAAACCTCCTTGGCAGTCTACATGTTACGGTTCGTCCCTTAGATACCATTCAGTTACTGCGAACGTTCATGCGTTGATCCTTCTGCGCTCAACGTGTTCTCCGGCAGGTTTGTTCTTCCCTGTCTACAGAATAGCTTCCTTCTCTTTTGTCACCTGAATGGACCATCCTCATGAAATTCAGTTTTTTGGCGATTATTCAGATATTCTTCTTGCGGTGGATCATCGTGTGATGAAGTTCCTAACTGCCTAAGCTTTTTTAAATGTCACTTCATTGAAACCCCTGAAAGAGATGAGGAAACAACAATAACGAAATCAGGATTAAAACTGTCGCAAACAAACACTGGCCTCTGGCCGATCAGGAAGCTGTTTTTAATAACCTGCGTAATTCCTCGAATTGCGTATGTTTTGTCAATATACCACATCTTTTTTCGTGAAATGGACCTCCTCAAATTTCGATCGGTTCTCAAATGTTTCGGCAGAAAATTCTAGATCTCCTGTAACACTGTTATTAACGTCGCAGTACGTCGTCATAATTTATATTTCTGTAGACCGTGGTAAGCCTATTCTATACTTCTTCCATTCTACACTCTTTCAAAATACACTTCAAGGTCTCATTCCACATAGTCCCTAGATATCTGTATTTATTTGTGGATCAATCCATGCAAGAAATATATGATCCACAGATGGCTCGGACTCTGCAGAACGAGAAATGGTGGAATCCGCTTAAATCAACTCATTTACGCTAGCACAAGTACTTATTTATTAATCAGCATAAACTTTCCATCCACAAAGCTGTTTGCTAATTAAGTTATTATTAAAGGTTTCCGCAATACTCGGAAAGCAGCTTTTCAACATAAATTTCAAGGGGATTTCGACCTTAGCTTACGATTTAAGCTTACAAAAATTTTTTCACATAAATGCGATTTTCTTTCTTTTTATTATTAAACACTTCAGAGAATGCGAAACCACTGTCAAACCTGAGTAAGATTCGTAACGACCATGCATTTCAAGTTGGTAAGCCATCTTCCTCATTTTGGATGAAGGGGCTCTGTTTCAGTATAATGGTCGTGGCTTTCCGTGGTACAGTTTTAATGACTTTGGCATTAGTACAAGGTTGCAAAGGTATGACGAAGAGTTTATAGTGAGAGATGCTAGTTCAATTAAAACAAATATGTACTGAAAATCATATCCTGTATCCTGGTAAATCATGTTGGATATCTGCTGATCTTGCGTTTTGTCCGTACAACCTTGGATGCATCCAAGACGTTTCTATACCGCCAGCTGGCTTCTGTGCTTATGATGCTGCTTGTGTTTTATAGTACTACGTTGTTTTTCACTGCGCTGTACTCAGGAACGACAGTGCCCTTCTCGTCTGTTCCTTCTGAGGTAAGCCATTTTCTCAATGATCCAGTATGTAAGTCTTCTGAAAGTTTCTTCACTGTAGCTTTCTCCCCTCACCTCACCAGTAGTTTATTCGATATACTATCGCAGCATCCTATTATTTTGGCATGATGCAGTACTTGTATAGGATACTGGCAAGTTCGTTTGACAATCTTCCAACGGTGATTACCGCCGGAATTTGACATGAAAGTTGGATTCTCGCACGTCATACTCGACACCCCATACCAAAAGAACTCAAGCGTGACAATCAAACGTGTATTCAATGCAAATTTACGTATCATGCTTAAGACTTTTCGTCATTCTCTTGCAGTCTTCCATTAATACCAAAGTTATCCAAAATGACTAGGAAAAGAACGACCCTGGAATCGAAACAGAGATTTTTTATCCAAAAAATCGGAAGCCGTACACGCTAGATTTTATGCTACCTACAGAAGGCTCGCCAATGTGAGAGGCGAAATCGTTGCCGGTCTTATTCCGGATTTTAGAGCAGTTGCGCTCTCCCCGAATTCGAATTAAACTGTTTAACCAATTTAAATAAAGAAAATTTGATTTACGTCAATTAATTTTTGTAAACTTCAATCGATAATCAATATTCAATTCTCATTGAAACTTTTATTGACGAGCACATGTTACGTCGAATCCGTTTCCTATTTATCATTCTTATTTCTTATCTAGCAATTGCCAATTTTATCTGTTCTTCTGGATTATATGCATACAATAATACAAATATGTCATTAATTACTGAAATAAGCCTATGCTAGTCTTACGTAATAATTCTACCAATTTAATCGGTAGGTCTGGATTAAATGACATGGATGACACGGATATACAATTCAGCAAACCTGATCATTTTGATAAATATACCTAAAAATCAGATAAACAGTATACCTTACACAACGTTACGTGCAAGGTATATTCAGCGGTTTAGCTGCATTCCTATTTTACTTTTAGTCTTTTATCATATCCGATTCGCATATTCAGGATATTTTGCGTGATTTCAGCCTTAATTTTCATTTATTTTCAGTTTCAGTGGTCACAGAAAGAATGTATTCGGTTCCGTCCCGACTGAACGCGGCTTTCGCCTACACGATCAGCGTTTTAAGCGCAGTGACGTTTTGTTGTTTTTTGAGCACAGCTTTCCGTCAGTATTCAACTTCTGCCTTAATTTCATCGTCGAGGCCGATCGTGTACGTAAAAAACATAAAAAATAAAGAGGCAAAACATTGCCACCGGTAACTCAGCTTGAGGTTTGTAGTTTAGGAAGCATTTGCCGGATTATAGCGCAGCCCGCGATAGCAGCGACCTCGGCTATGTCAACTTCAATGTCGAAGTGGATCTGACGCCACTGTTCGACTGGAATGTGAAACAGCTGTTTTTGTTCTTAACCGCCGAGTACGAGACGACCGAAAACGTAAGTAGTTTCGTGATGATTCCCATATCGTAATATTTTAATACCATTATGATTTACCCCTGTTCGATTCGGGTTCAGTAAATCATTTGACTACTAATATGAGTCAGTTTTATGCATTATGAAACTATGGGAATAATCCACTTGTTGTGACCGTTGAAACGTTTGACTAAGAATTTTGCGGCAGTTTTTACCAGCTGGCATTTTCATTACCCAGTTTAGTTTAATAAGTAAATTGTAGGACAGTTTTTTTCATTCATTGATCCATCTTCCATCGTTGTCTGTCTAGTGCAGTGAAATTTCGAGCGCTAAACCAACAGCACCAGAAGCTAGTGTCTGGGGTCTCCAACCCTCACTTTTTCCTTACCCCTGCCCCATCTATTGAAAATATTATGATAAGAAATAGAAGTATCGAAATATATTTATTGTATGCAGAGTCTCCCAGGCCAGTGGACGTTCTACACGTCCTTTAGTACTGTTTATTTGAAATTAGAATTCTCAGACTTCAGGTAATCAGCAAGTGTGCTGGCTGTGAAGATTATTCGTCAAGTGGTATGGCCTCTGGCGAATAGGTGATCAGTCTACTGCCGAGGATAAAATGCTGTGACTAAAAGTTTCTGTGTAATGGTGATATTGAAGCATTAGTTAATGTACTTTATGCTAATGAAGCCTGTCTGAAGTATATATCCCGAGGTCAAAATACGGTAATTTATTGTCGTTATTTGCTGAACTGTATTCTGTACTGATGCAGTAGCCCGGCATTGTATGCCGTGTTTGCGTACGATTTCTACTTCACTATATGAGTGTATGGAAAACAGTATTTTTAATATAGCTTAGTATATCCTTAGTGTAGTCAGTATCCATTTCCTTTTCTGATGCAAACGAATCCAGAGCTTCACTGCTCTGTCTCTTTGGTTCACTTGGCTAACTGCGTTATAAATGTCTTCATCACATTGATATTCATTTCTGTGTAATTTGTATCACAAACTGTTCTTTCGCGTCGTGGAGGCAGAGGCGTTCAGGCATTGCTTCCAACTTTCCCGATCCTGTGCCAGAGTCGCCGTTTCGGGAGAAGAGAAACGATGAATAAAGCACACCCCTTCCATACATTTGCCCCAGATTAATTTTGGCCGTCTTGTCGAACGGTCCGGCAAGTAGTTGTTGTTTCACCTTCCTTTCTGGAGACATTCGCAACACATACTCAAACCGTCGTGGCTGTGATTTCTCAATCTAAAGAAGCAGCGGCTGTACACCAATGCTTTCTCGGATACCAATGATTGGGCGTATTAGTTTGTCTCGGAAAGCCGCTTGTACCCGAAATCGAAGTTTTTCAGTCATGGTCCACGACTCATGACCGTAGGTAAGCATGGGGATGAGATCGATTTGAATACTTGGAGTTTAATCCTTAGACTTAGCCCTGCTTTAGTTCGGGCTAGTTCGCGCGGAGCGCCAGTGATTACTCCAATTCGTCGGTCGATCATTTCCTCCAGTTTTCCATCATCAGTAAACACGACCTTAAGGTATGTGAACCTCTCACCTGCTACGGTGCTTCTACCTTGTCTGATGAACGCAACAGGCAGGGCAACTAAAAAGTACGAGGACTTTTGTTTTAGGTACCTTTACACGAATGTCACCCACGTAGCACTCTGCTGCGGATTTTTCCAGAGCGCACCGTAGATATATTTTCAGAATATGCCAACAAAACAAGGTCGTATGCAAACAGCAACATTGTCGTCTTGACATCTACGCTGTTACATTCATCGCCTTAGCTATTCTATCCATGTATAACACAAACAGGAGAGGGTACAGAACACTGCCAGTGCCTACTCTGAAAGGGCTCGACTTAGTCTGACACAGTACCTGCTATCAGCATATACTTATTGGATGAGGCTGATGAAGCGCTAACTTTCTCCTGTGATGTAAATAGCTTCGGCGATTTTCTGCTGTTTCTCTGATTTTCGCAATCAGAAGATCTCGAATTCTTCTTTCAACTTTTTTGTGAGTTCGCAGAGAAGAGAGTACCCCACCGTGTCTGATTCTTCCCTCTTCATACTTTTCCGCTTCTCTAGCAAACTTTTTCTCTTCTGAGATCCTTCCTTTCGCTTTCTTTTATGTTACCACTTCGGCTGACTTTACGCAGAATTCAGTTTCTAGGCATTTCTAGGCAGACTCCCCCTGGTCGTCGCTACAGCTACCTTTCAGACTCCAGTCCTCGCTGGAAATACTCTTCTTCGACAGGCCGTTTTCTGGTCGATTTGCAGTTTGCAGTGCCTTTCTCTTGATATTTTCTTCGAAGGTTAGCCTGGCCTACGCCACTGTCTGGTCACTGTCGGTGTAAAGTGATGACTCTAATGCCGTCTCGGATGATGCGGCCTTTACCGAATAGGGCGAGATCGTTCTCCTTCTTCATTATCGCTTTGGACTTGGTCCACATCCACCTCCTATTGATCTTCTTGAACCATATATCGCCACTGTACGGGTATTTCGTTTCAGTTATCGTCATCAGCCGACCTCGCTGATTTTGCTGTCCACTGCCGTGCCTTCCGACAAACTTCTGACCTGTCCTTCCTCCTCAGGCCGTGGCATTAAGTTCTCCCTTGACGAGCGTCTACGTGGACGTTGTGACCAGTGTCCTTCCATTTTTTGATAGAATTCTTTCGCCTTCTCGTTAGCTGTATTTGTCGGAGCGTATACTTGGACGTCCTTCAAGGTACTCTTCTTGTTCAGCTGCTCAGTCTTGGTGAATTTGCATGGCAGGAGACGGTTTTGGGCGGGGGTAGTTTTTGTTGACTACATAGTTGGTTCTTCCTATGGTATTCACTGTCTTTCTTCGCCCTAGCCAAATCAGTCTACGATTTTTCTTGGTGTCATTCTCCTCCTTGCTCCGTCGTGTCTCTCAGAGACCAAGGATATCGCAGGCATCCCTCCATTATTTGGTATCACGTTTTTTCCCTAACCAGTGTTCTACAGATGTAGGCGCTAACGGTGAAGGAAGTCTGAGTTGTTTTTCAGATGGCAGCCTTTCACCAGGGATTCTTACCAGCCTCGTCAGTCGAACGCCAAGCCGCTTCCTTAAAACTGGTCGAGAGACGTGTAGGGTGTAGCGTATTG